CTAAAAATTTTTTGAGCAAAGAACCAAGAAGGAAATACATTTTCAATTTTGGACTAGGGGCGACCCTAGTCAAAATCAATTTTGTCACTTTTTTCTTCGATAGTTTATCCAAATGGATTGAAACTTTGCATAAATATTTTAGTGCTTAAAACAAATACAAATAAAACATCCTTTGATTTTTTTGAGTAAGTGACTAGGGGCGACCCTAGTCAAAATCAATTTTGTCACTTTTTTCTTCGAGGGTTTATCCAAATGGATTGAAACTTTGCATAAATATTTGAGTGCTTAAAACAAATACAAATAAAACATCCTAAAATTTTTTTGAGCAAAGAACCAAGAAGGAAATACATTTTCAATTTTGGACTAGGGGCGACCCTAGTCAAAATCAATTTTGTCACTTTTTTCTTCGAGGGTTTATCCAAATGGATTGAAACTTTGCATAAATATTTTAGTGCTTAAAACAAATACAAATAAAACATCCTAAAAATTTTTTGAGCAAAGAACCAAGAAGGAAATACATTTTCAATTTTGGACTAGGGGCGACCCTAGTCAAAATCAATTTTGTCACTTTTTTCTTCGAGGGTTTATCCAAATGAATTGAAACTTTGCATAAATATTTGAGTGCATAAAACAAATACAAATAAAACATCCTAAAAATTTTTTGAGCAAAGAACCAAGAAGGAAATACATTTTCAATTTTGGACTAGGGGCGACCCTAGTCAAAATCAATTTTGTCACTTTTTTCTTCGATAGTTTATCCAAATGGATTGAAACTTTGCATAAATATTTGAGTGCATAAAACAAATACAAATAAAACATCCTAAAAATTTTTTGAGCAAAGAACCAAGAAGGAAATACATTTTCAATTTTGGACTAGGGGCGACCCTAGTCAAAATCAATTTTGTCACTTTTTTCTTCGAGGGTTTATCCAAATGGATTGAAACTTTGCATAAATATTCGAGTGCTTAAAACAAATACAAATAAAACATCCTAAAAATTTTTTGAGAAAAGAACCAAGTAGGAAATACATTTTCAATTATGAACTTGGGACAGTTCTAGTCAAAATCTAGTTTTTCACTTTTTTTCTTCGAAGGTTTATCCAAAAACAGAAAAACTTTGTATGAGCATTCTAATCCTCAGGTCACACATTTCTGAATTAATAAAAATCATTTTTTTGGACAAAATTTTAAGTCACGGTGTTTTTTAATGTACAAACAAATTTATAAAATTTGGGTCTGACGACATATAGAATACATTTCTTGCTTCAGATATTTAAAACTGTTTTGTATAAATATTAGTATACTCACACAAAGTTTCACTGTAATTGGATAAACCTTCGAAGAAAAAAAGTAACAAAATTGATTTTGACTAGGGTCGCCCCTAATCCAAAATTGAAAATGTATTTCCTTCTTGGTTCTATGCTCAAAAAATTTAAGATGTTTTATTTGTATTTGTGTTAAGCACTAGAATATTTATGCAAAGTTCCAATCCATTTGGATAAACCCTCGAAGAAAAAAGTGACAAAATTGATTTTAACTAGGGTCGCCCCTAGTCCAAAATTGAAAATTGATTTTCTATGGTGTACTTTGGTCAAAAAAATTTTTTGGATGTTTTATTTGAATTGACATAATTTTGACATAAATGACATACCAATATTTTTTTTTGTAATGCATAGCTTAAAAAAAAATCGAAATCTAAAATTTCGACTACCCCATCAGAATTTTGTTCATACTCTTCACTGTCGAAACCAAAAAACAAATTCTTTATCTTAAAACACTTGACAAAATAGCGACATAATTCAGGATTAATTCCTTTTTAATAATATTTTACCATTTACGAGAACTGTTCCCGATGGTGACAAAATTCAAACTACGTGTTTTTGTAGCTGATATAATAATAACATAAATTAGGTATAACTTTTGAACTGTGTCGATATGGGTCTCAGCCGTACTTTACGCCCACCTTTCAAAATTATGCTGAGCAAATCTTGGTCCATCCATAAGACTTTTGATTTTGATGGTACGGTGTGAATATATCCGCATTGGGTTTTGTACCCGATACAGTAGTTTATTTTTGATTTTTGTATTATTTTATAATTAATTACAATCCAATAAAATGCGTATGTACGCTTTTAAATGAAAAAAAAAGTTTTGATCATTTCTATCAGTTCCGCACCCATAAATTCAATTCAAGGATTTCAAATGTTTTATAAGTCAAAATCATGTTATATTTAGAAGCTAGAAGCCCAAGAAATCATGGTGATGAATAAACTAGCTTTAACTGTAGTGTCCTTATAAGAAACCTAATCGTAACTATAATATACCACTAAGGAACTACAAATTCTTGCTACATCACTGACTTATCAGAAGTGGTATTTCTTAAAATCAATAAATACTCATTACTATCGTCATCCCGAATTGCACAAGTCGATTAATCGATCAGAAATTCGGCAACAAGCTGATGTGACTCTAGCATAGTTCTGGATTCAAATCGAAGCCAGCACCATGTCAGAGTCATACCAGCTGGGTGCTGGATTTCTTTTCAATTAAACGACTTGTGCTATTCGGACATCATCTCCAAAAACTATAATTAAACTTTATGAAATAGTTGAACAACTAAACAAAGTCTAGTTTTAACACATAACGCTATTGAACGCCACTTACGATTCTTCTTTCTTTGTGCTTCAACTTTTTTCAATTCTTCTTTGCATTTGACATTGAATTTTACTTCTTCGTCAATCGATTGATACCAAAACTAGTATAAACTTCCAATTGTTCACTGTATATAACATGCGTAGCATATGAAAAATTATTGGACATTAGAAATCGCAACTCTCTTACATGGACAATGCAACATTTGAAATGTTTTTGTTTTATTCAAAATATTTTGAGTGTCAATTATTCGAGTATACCACATAATTGGCCTAAAGCCTCTGCTGACTACCAGTTTTGAACGAATGGAAAATTTTCTAAAGGTGTTGAATTGATAACAATAAAAACTTGCATGCGATTTGAATAACTTGAATTACCAACAATCCAATTAAAGCGTGTTTTGAGCTTCTAAGTAATGGAAAATTTTACGATATTAAATGTCGTTATGCAAGGAAGCTATAACGGTTTTCAGTTCCCATAGTGTATAAATTTAGAAGCTGCAAGCAATTTGCATTTATAACAACTTGCATCAAAGTGATTAATTGACTTTCTTTTCTGACTTTTTAGTTCCTTTTCTCGCAACATGATATTTTTATGTTGTCATGGCACACGCATCATGAGATTCTGACATTATCTAGTCTGTTTTGTCGTAAACAAAAATAAGGTTTGTTTGTAAATGACGTCTGGTATTAGGAAATGTCAAATTTGTGGATTATAAAACTTTTACAGGAGCATTTTCTAGCATGCAGAGAAAAGTTGGTGTTAAAATCATATTTTTTGATACACATCACTGGATGATCACCCCCCAAAATCCAGCAATATGTAACTTTAAACTATCATATGTGGTCTTACTTATTTCAAATCAATTAGCTTACTAAATGACACATTTCAGGACAAATAATGAAGAAAAAATGATGTTTATATCCGGCTGAATGGCAATGCGATTCTTAAATTACGCATATCGATTTGTCAACTAAAAATGCACCAGACATTTGCTGTTTCTTCTCTCCTTCATTTATTGTCTACATGACAGACTATGATGAATTACTCTTTCACTTTTCCTCTCTTTTTACATTTGTCAATCAGTTCCAATTTCTCTTCATCCTCTATGACTTCATTTCCTCTCCATGCCCCCAAAAAACAACACGACAAGATATTTCCTTCTTTTTGCTAAAAGGATAAAGATGCAAAATTATTGAAAAGAATATCTTGAGGAGTTTCAGTTGGTTTTCTCAACAAAACATGCCAAAATATCTCTCGAATTTCTTTCTTTTCATTGTTGTTTGTTTATTTTTATAAGCCGTGTGTTATTTAAAACTGAAATGAAATGAAAATGTCGCGTGTCATATGAAAATAGCAATCAGAACAATAAACCTCAAAAAATAATAAAAGAAGAGGCTTTTTATGATTTTTATCGTAGGATCAATAAACCTTTCATAACTTGAGTGGATGCCTTTATAAATTTGATGTGAACCCTTTTTCTAGTGAATTTTGAAACAATTTGACTAGCATTTTTGAAACATTCAGTTTTAACTTACTTTGTAGAACTTTCAGATCAATTTTGATTAGCTGAATTTGCTTTAAACTGAGTCTCTTCTGAAAGAACGACTTAAATATTGAGAAATTGGCTCCAACAAATCGGAAATAAGTAAAAAATCATAGTTATATATTTTTTTTATCATTTTTAATAATCATTTTTCCATTCTTCTTTTTATGTACAAAAATAATTGTATGAGTTACCTAAAATGGGGATTTCACATAATGGATAATTTAAATCTAACTAAATCATAACTCAATTATTTTATTTCATTATTTTTTTCTGTAGCTAAATTAAAAATAATTTATTTTAATATGTTTTAGCATGTGTGCAAATTGGATCTTAAACATTAAACTCGTTTTAGTTCTTTTTTTAAAATTATAAAATATTTAAATCAATATTAGTAAAAACAAATAACTAGAAAATTTTTTAATTTTGTTTTATATTCCTTAAAAAATTTATTTTTTTAATGTAGTCCCAGAATTGTCAATTTTACTTTTTAATCCTCGCATTCAATTTTGTTTGCATTTTTTTATTTACTATGTTTTCTAATAAAAGAGTTTTTTATTTGTTTATTAATTATTTTAACTTACTTTTTCTTGTTGATTTTTCTTTTATATATTATTTACTTAAGAATTATACATTTCAGCGCGCTGAGAAACATAGAAATTTTTCAAATGAAAAAAAAAATAATTGAAATATTCACCATTTATCCAATAAAACAAAAAAGAAAAAAAAATCATTTTAAAAAATAATGATTATAATTAATTGCATATTAAGATAAATTCTATTTACAGTCATTATATAAGTGTCTGTTTTCTGTGTGTGTTGTTTTGCTTTCATTGATTAATTAATATATAATAATTTTTATATATATATATATATTTTTTATAAAATAAAAACTTGTGTTGGAAACAAAATTTACATCAAGTACTAAAATCAAAGGTTTAGTATCAGATCTATCAATTATGCTACTTTTGATGCCGAATGTTTTCCAAATACTTTATAAGTTCTAATCTCTCAAATCACTATATCTCCAATACTAAACCCCTGATTTTTCAAACATTACCTCTTTTCATATCATATTCAACTTTTCTGTTCGGCGCCTTTTCGTTATCAAAGTACTGTGCGCTACCTTATTAATTCGGTTCCTTTCCATATTCTTTTCCTATTCATTCATTCTAATATTTAAAAAAACAAATTATAATCATCATCTTTCTCATTTAATTCAATAATTGAAATTAATTCAAAATAAATAATTTAATTTTTATTTAAAAATATTATTTTTTTGAATTAGAGTTATTTGTTATTTTTTATATTCATTTTTAATTCACCAGTTTTTTTTTCACTCAAGTTTTTTTTTTCGTGAAGTCAAGCTCTTAGCATTGTTATTTATGATGTTTTGCCTTTTTTTAAATTGTCATCTTAGTTAATATAGTTAATTATTTGTTTATTTTAATATGCATAAAATTGCTTGAATCTCAGTTTCATTAAAAATATATGAATGAAGTTTTTTTGTGTTTGATAAAGAAATGATTGAAATCATATTCTTAAGATTCTATAATGGTTAGAGAAATGATGATGTGACAAAATATATTGTGATAATGCAATAACCGAGTTTACTCATCCGTCTTTTTTTGATTATTTTTCCTGAAGCATGGCAAACATAAGCTCGCCTTGTGCTCTTGAATGTTTGTCAATGGATTGATTGTGAATTCATGATTCCATTGTGCTATCATTGCCAAATCTTGTCGTTGTTGCTGTGTTAAATTTGAGTTGTATTGACCTTCAGGTGACTTAGCTCCGCATTCAGAACAAATTGTACAGTTAACACAGTGATAGTGACCTAAACAAGTAAAAATCAATTGAAATGTTAAATAAATTTTAAAAGGAGTACAAATTTTCTCTAATTTTACCTTCGGGAACATTTCGTAGACCCAAACAGTAAATATGAAAGCCTCTGTCGCATTGAATACAGTATAACATCTTATTATCCTTTGATTTTCGACACTTGCTACACGACTTGCAACTGGAACATTGCCAACTATAAGCTAATGATCGGATGTACATTCTCTGAGACATTTGTATGCAGGAAGGATGTGCTATAGTTAAAAAATTATGTTAAATTCATTCTGCATAATTATTTTATCACAAATTACCTTCATTTTTACAAGTAGAACATTTGATAAACTTCTCCGGCTGGTTAAAGCGATTTGTGAAGGGAGTCTTGGAACAGACCTTACAAAATGGATCTACATATTCGTCTTCAGACGATTCATCAGAAGAATCAGAATCCTAAAGTCAAACAAATATATTAATTAAATAAACCAGTTTAAAAAATTTCCATTATAATCTTACCGTTGAGCTGCCACTATCGCTGCCTTCATCATCTGAACTATCACTGCTGTCACTCGATGATTCATATGGTTCTGGATGAGTCTTGAGATATTCTTGGAGTTTATTAAAATCAACTAAGACTGTGTTGATAGGATAGCATCTGTTAAAGAGATTGAAATAATTAAAATTTGTCTTCTTGTTCAGAATGTTTGCAAATTAAACTTACGCTAGCTGTTCAGGAGTGTATTTTTCGTAAAATTCACTAAATTGACCGGGAACTAGTGCAACGGGATATGGAGATCGATATATTGCTGATGGCGTTGTTTTGTAGTCTCTTATTGGTGTGGGCTTCTGAACCGAACAATTCTGTAAGTCCATACAACAACGACGATTTTCTCGGCGACTATTTTAAATAGACAATTATTAGCATTCTGTCATTTATGCAAATTTTATAAATTGACTTACTCTTTATTAAATCTAGTGTTCCATTCTGATGCGGATGTTATGGCCTTATCTTTTTGCATTTGACTTCTGTCAATAACTGCGGTCTCAAGTCGGAGTCTAGCATGCTTGAATATTTTCTCACGTTGATATCTTTTGTACTCTTCATATTTTTCAGGATAATCATTACACATAATATCTAACACTTCACTTGCGTAAACAGCGGTCAATCCTAAATCACACATCTTTTCTGATGCCAAGCCATTTTCAAAAAGATGATTTCGTTCTTCCATGTCAACAGGCCTTCTTACTAAATCAGGATATTTCCTTTTGAAGCTTTTAATTCCAAGATATTCGGCTATTTGTTCCTGAATCATATAAGTGTCTCGGTTCTTCCCGCTTTCTGTTAGAGGCCAGTCATATTCTGCCAGCATATCCACCATGAATTCCATTCGTCTAAAAGGACACATATGAAATTAGTCTAGCTAATAAAATAGATTTTTTACAATGCACATACCCTTCTGAATCACCCATGTCCATCTTTTTTTGACGTTTCTTGGTTGTTGATCCATCAATAGTATTGCTCGTACTACTTATGATAGAGCTTTGTGATTCCTCATTTGAATGCATTTCCATTGTTCTTATAATTGATTGTGAATCATTTCCACTCATGCTCATTCTTGTATCTTCTTCAAATAATGATGGTGTTGTGAATAATTTTTTTCGATTGCTTTCCTATAATTTAAAAATAATTAAAATAAGATTTCTTCATTCAAATTAAAATTTCTTAAAATTATTACCTTAAATTCAGTATGATTAGGAGTCATGAAATAAAATGAATCTTTTGAACGTTCTGGTGTTACGAAAGGAGAAGATTTTGATCCCTTTCCTCCTCGAATAGCTTTACCGCCTTTTGATCGTTTATTTCCTGTAAATCCTCCTCTAAGGCTTCTATTATAAAGTGAGAAAGATGGCGAATCATCATCATCATGTCCTTCCAGTGTAATTTGCACTGGCTTTCCATTCTTAATGACTTCAACAGTTCGCTTTAATCTTCCTCGTCCTCGACCTCTTCCTCGGGATGATTTCTTCTGACTATCGCTCGTTTCATCCATTTGTGAGCCGTTGTCTAGTGTACTGTTATCATTACTGTCAGTTGGCATATCTATTTCCAAAGGATCTCGAGAAACAGATTCTTCGGAAATAATTGCTACTTTTTCAGGTGCAATTTTCTTGGGACGGCCACGTCCTCGTTTGGGTGTTATCAGCTCATCGACTGAATTTGAATTTCCTCCATCATTTGACAATGCTAATGGATCAATAGATTCACTTCCTTGCGAATCATCTCTAATGAGTTGTGAATTATCTTGTTCAATGACAATTGGCGGTGACTTATTATTAGATGGTTTCTTTTTTTGTTCTTGCTGCTGTTGTGCTTTGAGAGCTGCCTCTTGATTCCTTCTCGTTTGTCTTAAACTTCTTCCTGTTGTCGCCGCAGACGTGGAAACAGATTCTACTTTCTGATCAGAATTTTGAACTTTTTCGGGAATAGTTGTAGTCTCTGTAACAAATGAATGCTGCGGTAGACTATTCATTTGATTAGAGGCTTCATTAGATGCATCACTATCATTTATAATAATAACATCGTCATCTTCATCATTGAGTTTAGGCTTTTTTGGAAGTTCTTCCTGCTCATTAGCATTATCATTTGGATGGGTTCGTTTATGATTAACGCTAACTGTTTTCTGTACATTTTCAGTCAATTGTGGAATAATTTCCGTTGTAGTCGATTCATTATTTGTTTTATTAATTTTCAATATAATTCTTGGCGAATCTTGACCAGAATCAGCATTCTTTAAAACACTCGTATTGATTTCCAATGGCTTACATACTAAATTCTCTTCCATCTTCTCATCTAACACCTCCTCTGAAGTTCCAATTAATCGATTAATTGAGAATTTAACTTCAGATTGTGGAGCCGAATCAGTACAATTTTTCACTGGTTGCTTAGGCACTTCCTTGATCGGAATCTGTTTAATATTTAATTTTGGAACTGTTAACGGTAGAGGTGGCGATGGCGTCGAGCTGCAGGATGATGATTCTTTTTCTTCGTCATCATCTTCTTCTTCATCGTCTGGCTGTGTTTCTTTCGGAAGTTTAACGACTAATTTTGGGACAACTTTCTCAAAGATTGATCTATTGTTAACAGCTTTCAATGTTAATTTTGGAATTGATTCCTCTTGTAGTGGAGATTGTTCCTCGGCTGGCCTCACAACCGGTTTGATTGTTAATTTCGGTGTCATAGGCTGCTGATTAGCTTTAATTGTTAATTTTGGTATAGCTTGTTCATTATCAAATGATACTGAATTAACAATTGTCTTTGTATCATTATCAGTTGTTTTGATCGTTAACTTGGGCACTGGCGGTTGCTCCGATAAAGGTTTAATCGTCAATTTCATTCCGTCTTTTTGAGAAGAGTGGTGATGATGATGATTTGTTTTTATATGTAGCTTGGGAATTGTATTTCCTTCGTGATTCAAATGATAGAATCCCTCGTGTGTATTGTTATCTTTCTTAATGGTCAGCTTTGGTATAGCTGGACCGTCTAAAATACTATTTACACTGTGATCTCTCATTGCTGCTTGCTCGTTTTGCAATTGATTATGCAAGGTTGATGAAGTCTGCGGTGAATTAAGACCAGTTATTGTGAGTTTAGGCACGATATGGAGCTCTGATTGCTCATGATTAGGAGGTGTGCGTAAATGCAGTTTTGGAACAATTTGAATTGAAGGACGCGGCTGATGTGAATCATTAAAATTTTCATAAGAGGACTCTGATGAGTGCGATGATGATGATAACGTTGGTGAAATAGAAACTGAAGCAGAATTTGGAGACGTTGTTATGACACTATTATTTCGATCAGGAGGAGGATGTGGCGGCTTAATTGTTATTTTTGTCGGACTAGTCTCATACAAGTGTGGCTGTGGTATTTTTATGACAGTCCTTAGAGTTTCTCGTTCTCGATCTCTATTCAAATTAATTTTTAGTGGCTCAACTTTACGGTTTTCTTCTTGATGAGCAAATTTTAGTACAGATGTAGCTGAGGAGGAACCACTGCCTCCATGATGATAGTCACTATCATTCATCTTGTTATAAAATTGAGATTCAAGTCGATGATGCTGTTGACTTTTCACCGTAGACGGTTTCAATAAGCAATTTTCTAAAATTGATTTTGTGGTTGTTTCACTTGATGCTACTTTATTATTATTATTGTTACGTTGAAGTAATTCATTCAAATTATTATGAATTCTATTCCTATGACTATTAATTGTTGATAAATCCACCTCTTTCGTTCCACCGTTATTATCTGAATTTTGTGATGCTTTCTTTAAGTATGCTACTGATTCATCATACTGTGGATTAGCGACAATAGCAGATGCAGACGAAGGCATCATCAAACTATGCACACTTTTTGACTTTTCTTGCCCATTTGACAAACTATCATGCTTATGAACTGATGTCAACAGTGACGATAATAATGGTGATCGATTTGTATTTTGAGGTGATCCTTCTTGATGTTGAATTTCAGATGTTGCACTACCGTTACTTGTTTTTGTTGGGTCAATTTCATTCATGCTGTTTGCTCTTTGCGTTTTCAAATATTATTTACAACATATTTCTCACATAATGACTTCTTTACATTTACCCAAACTTTTAAAAAATTGCTGATAATCATAAAAATACTAAAATAAAAGAATATGAAGAAAAAGATTTGTTAATACTAAAGCATTATGAAAAAAATTTGTGTAAACGATATGAATTTTTATCTAATTATGAAGTTGTAATATTTAGACCTTCGAATTGATAATCAATAGGCAAGGAAAACTTGTTGCAATTCTCTCACTCATTGTGTACATACGTATGAAATTGGTGGGAAATTTTTCTTATGTTACATGCACTAAAGTATTTTTTACATTACAGAAAGAAACATTCAAATGGCATTTTTACGATACATATGTTATTTTTTCAATAATGGTGGTTTGACACAACATCAGAAAAATTTATTGCACATCTAATATATACGTTTTTAAGCTCAAAAATTATGTATTTATTCTAAAGATCCTTCTGTAACAACATAATTTTGCGTCAAACTCTAACAGGCGACTCAATTTTCTCTCCTCTGATTTTTTTCTTCTTTCTATGACAATATAGATATCCGAGTATAATTTTTTTCTATTATATTCTACACACTAGCACACATTCAAGGCACATTGGCACTTTATGTCTGTACACATCATACACACAGTTCAACGCGCGCACAAATACAAGCAAAGCTTTGCTGCTGCTGCTTTTCTACGGAACATTTTTTTCCTTTCCCGAAAGGCACAGCACAAAACTCTTCACATTATCAAAACAGCGGTTGGCGAAAAATGTTTTATCACAAGAAATTCTTTGCGCGGAAAATCTAATGTACTTGTTTAATTGTAATATATTTACTAATTAAAAATTTTTCTTTAACCTTATTAATTTCCTGTAGTATTCCATTTTCTTTTTTTTCATACAACCATCATCATCATATATTTATTATACATTGGTGTTGAAAATCCATCATGAACATGAAATTTTATGACCCGACTTTTTTTTTTGTGAATTATTGCTTGTCTCTATTATGCTTGATTTTATGAAAACATGTATGTTATGAGAATTATTTCACTTTAAACTTTTCGTAGAGGGAAATTTTTTGTAAGATAAGTTGGAAATTAAGTTTTTTTAAGAGTACGACATACGAGAAACGAGAAGAGAAACTTTTTTTTCTTTCTTTTTCTAAGTGTACAAATCGTGAGTTTTTTTCTGCATGAAAATCAATTGTTTACATTGCAATAAGTAATAACGCATAGATCCTTGCCACTTTTATGAATGAAATTATTTGATTTTATCACTGAATTTCTCAAAATTCGTACCTTTCAAGCGAAGAATTCAAACGCTAATTTCTTTTACACTTTAATGCTCTTTTTGGCTTTTAGCACTCTATTTTTCAATTTCTATTTATGCACCAACGTTTATATATTTGATATCAAACACTTTAACCTTTCTAATATTATTATAATTAATTTTTTTCAATATTTTTACTTAATTAAAGCCTTCGCTTTGATGCCTTGAAAAAATAGGTTTTTGCCGCAAAACGCGCTAATAGCTATTGGGGTGTAGCTCAGTTTTATCAAATTTCCAATGAAAAATTACTAAACGTGACAAGTTTATTTAAAATTTTGATTAAATTATAAATGAATCAATGGAAGATTAAATTACCTGATCAATCTTGCAAAATTATTGTATCTTAGTTTGTAATTATTTACAATAATCTGATTTACTGTCTGATCACTTGATTTGTCTCCCCGTTAAGAAAGATACTACAAGGTCGAATGTTTATGTGCAATTAGAACATCTGCTGCAACCGTTATATGTTTATGATCTTTTATGTTATAGTTTTCTTGTTATGACGCCAATTGTTGATAACATGCAAATTAGCTGAAAGTTTCTAAACTTGGGGAACTTTCTATTTGAATGCTTAACATTAGTTTTATTGATTTTTAAATTTAAGTTTACTCCTTTGTGCCAAATTAACCGTAATCAAAATTTAATTGATGTTTAATAATCAGAAATGAAACTTGAAAATCCATTAAAGACATTGAAACAGACAAAAAAAATCTTGTTTTATATTTTCAAAATCAATTTCTGTCAAATTTAATAAAACAAAATTTAAAAGGTTTAGCTTCAAAAGTATTTCGATTGAAATTTTATTTTTTAAGCCAATTTTTATTAAAAACCATTTGAACAATAAATTAATCTTAATCTACAGTTAAAATAGAGACTCACCTTAATTGCAAGTCCTAATTTACGTTATTTAAAGTATAACAAGAAGACGAAGTGAACTCATCGAATTCTCAAATTCAAATGAAAATTTTCACAAAATTTCGCGTGTTTTATACCCTTTGAGAATTTGCTATAAAGATTTTTGCTATAAAATCAGTTTCAAACATCCAGCAAGCATCAAATCATCAATCCAGACAAACAATAGCATTAAAAATAATTCACAACAAACAAAGCAAGCGAATTATAAGTGTAGCTCAAAAAAACTGGAAATATTTTGCGTCACATCATCAACTTTGGGTTTTGCTATAAAAAAATCGTGTCAAATAAAAATTTATCAAGAATTTAAGGAATTCGTCAATTGATAAAGATCCAGTAGAGATCGAAAGGATAGCTAATAACGATCAAGGAACCATGAATAAGAAAGATGACAAGAAAGCAAAGTTGATTCAAGAAAAGTGCAATAATGTGAGGAAAAAAGTTTTTTTGAAATTTGAGTCATGGAAAAAATTTAAAGAATGTCAAGATTTATGGAAAAATGTCATTGCCGTGTGCCTTGAGAATCACTGTAATCCAATTACGGATGTATACTCAACATATTGAGTATGAATATGCTCAACTGGATGATAATTTTAGAGATTAAAACTTATCTTCTTTTGTTCACTTCCTTTTTGTCAGAAAAAGTTCTTTTCTACGAAACCAGGCCACATATTGTGTTTGTATTTCACAGTATTTCATTCCTTGATCGTATTACTTTCAATCTCTATATGTTTTAAAATAATTGGCGTTGCGTTATCGGGAATCTGGATGTTTTAATTTTTAAAATATTTATAATCTCTTAATGATTTGGCTTAGATAAATCACATCCACGTAATTAACTTATTTAAAAATGTTTTATTTTTAGATTCTTAATCAGTTACTACGAGATGAGGATAATAAATATTGCTGCGATTGTGATCAGAAAGGTCCAAGATGGGCTAGTTGGAACTTGGGGATATTTTTGTGTATAAGATGTGCAGGAATTCATCGAAACTTGGTATAATCAATTACTTTAAATCAATTCTTTATGTCTAATCAATTTGTTTACTTTTCACATCTCCGACATTGTTGCTGCATATTATATAGGGTAAGCTATTGAACTTTAATTGTATACTGCTTATTGCTTTATGTTGATTTTATCAATTAACACATTTTATATCTTTTTCTGCTTTAGGCGTTCATATATCGCGTGTTAAGTCTGTCAATTTAGATACATGGAGTCCCGAACAAGTCGTTTGTCTTCAACAAATGGGTAATTCACGAGCTCGTGCTGTGTACGAAGCCTTATTGTCTGATAATTTCCGTCGTCCTCAAACTGATTCTGGATTAGAGAACTTTATTAGAGCTAAATATGAACAGAAGAAATATATAGCTAGAGAATGGATTCCTCCGCCGTTTCCACCAAAAGGTAAGCATTTAAAAGCTTTTTTGAGTGCTGTCTTAGGGTTGTGATGATTGGATTTTTTAAAGTTCAAAAATAACCGTCATTCAAAATTTGAATTATCGTTAAGTTCAAAACAAGAAATTCAAATTTTTCATGTAACGGTTTTTTTAATAAAAACCTCGTTAAATACATCCAATGCTGAATCAAATCGAACCATACATGCCAATTATATCGATAAGCATCTCAAAAACAAATCAATCAATGTACAAATTATAAAAGTTATTAATTGAAAACCTAATTTTAGTTGATTGGGATAAAGAAATTGAGGAGGAGCTTGAGAATCAGAAACGCAAGAAGAAGTCAACACCATCGACATCATCATTACCAGAACCGACTGCAAAAACAACGACTATAAGTATCACAAATAATATAATTCCAGCTCCATTACCAAAACCACATTCACCGAAGAACTCGAGATCGGATGCAAAAAAAGTCGTTCCAAATATTCCACCAATTACGGCTGCAGCAGTATCAACAGCATCGACTGACTTACTTGGACTTGATACATCGTCTATTAACCAAACGAATCAGACTGCACCAGTTACGACTTTACCTGCCGTACAGCAGAAAACTGAAAATTCAATTAGTGACACATTTGACTTTTTCTCCGACTCAACAGTGTCGCAACCATCTCAAGTACAGACTAATGTTGCAAAAAATGGCAATAATGATTCATTAAAACAGGAAGAAGATGATTTCTTTAATCAAAAGTCAACAATAGAGAATGGTGCTGAAAAGGGTAAATTGACTAAAGATAATATTTTGGCACTCTATGGAAATAGCTCGTCGTCGCCATTCCAAGCACCAACATTTAATGCCAATTTTCAACAAGCACCACAGCCTGTGCAACAGCCACAAGATGCATTCTTTAATTTTGGACAGCAAGTACCATCAACTTTTAAGACACAAATTCCACCTCAACAACCATTCATTCCCGTTGTGGGTCCGGCAACGACAATGATGGGAAATTTTAATACAAATGGAAATTATGGAAACTTTAATAGTTTTGGCACAATGCAGTCGCAGCAGATTAATCGATTGAATGAAGAAAATATCAGAAAAATTGAAAGTCTCAATTTTAACAACTTTAAGTAAATGTCTACATCAAGAAAATGAATTTAACGATAGGCCAATCGATGTAAGTGAAATTTCTAATTTGTACGAATTAAAAAAAATTATGGAATTTATCAAATTTAACTTAATATACTTAAAACGAATTGATAGACGCCGGGAGAAATAATTTTCCTTTGCGAGGAAAATGCGCTAAAATGAAATATTGAATGTGAAAGACTAAAAGTCCAATTATACTTTAATTAAATGAAGTAAATAATTAATGTTAAAATGAATGATTGATGAAAAATTTCATATTTGTACATTATCGTTTCTCCTTTTTCATAACTGTTTACGGAAATACTGAAAAATAATGATAAACATGAAAAAACAAACTATAAAGTTTAATACACGTACACAATAAAAATGTAATAAATAATTTTTATTTTGCGTCAGGCTGTGGTGGTTGAGAATTAGGAGGAAATTGATAAGAGGTCATTTACTTTTTATCGGTATTGGGGTGTATCTGAGGCTAATAAATGCTATATTGAGGTATTTCTACTTCTATTTAAAGCACGACAGACTAAACCATCATTTAGAGAATATTTGGGCAGCAAGGATCTTGGTGGGAAGAATTTCAGGAGTTAACTCACAATTCAAAAAGTGAATTTCACTTATTCAAATTCAAACTCAATTTTGTCAATTTTTTGATTCATGTATTCTACATAATGTAAGTAACGTTACGTAATTTGCACTCTCTTTCTTCTCAAGGTTTTTTTATATCTCTTTAGAAAATTTAAGTCCTTTTTGCAATAGAATTTTTACTCAAATTTATTTTGAAACTCATCAGAAATTGAGTTTTGAGTTAACTCCTGGCAATGATCTATAGAAATATCATGAAATTGAGGAGGATTCGGAATGACAAGCAAAAAGTATTTTTGCATTTTCGATGAGATTTATTAATTTGAAAAGTTCAAGTCCTGTCTTCATGAAAGATCCACAAAGAATTCAATTCAATACAGAAATGCTGAGCATTAAAGATTCGGCTAAAATTGCTGAAAAGTTCAGTGAATTTTTGAAGATATCTTTGTGCATTTTGGATTAAATATGAAATTTTAATCTGCTTATTTAACATCTTCAAACATCACTGAACTTTTAATTTTCTTTGTAAATCTGATATTTAATGATGGTTTAAGATTCAAACCAAATTGTCGAAATTTAATATTGATTTTGGGTTTGATTTGAGAATTAAAGATTGAGTTTTACATTTAAATCATTCGAATCTATGATTAAAACATTGATTTTAAATCATTTGAGAATGTAACATTGCTGTCAAAACAGAATATCAAACAATGAGACTCAATTAAATTGTAAGATTTAACATTGCATTGATTAATCTTGAATCAAAAATCGACTGATTCTCAAACTTAAAGTTTAGTCTAGTTCTAGATTTTATTTAAAAATTTGGGATTTTTCTTGCATAACTCTGAAGATTGAATATTAAAAAAAGAAGATTCTAATTTTTAAGCTCTAGATCAAACTTAAACAGCCTGTTTCACTAAAGTGGATTATCCTCGATTTCGAATTATTCACTTCAGTTTTTTGAAAATATCTCCAGACGCTTAAGGTTATTAAGAGATCTAATGTGTGATCTAGCAAGAGTACTTTGCTACTTAAATTAACATATACTTAGAATTTTTATATCTTCATTAGTTTGAGAATTATAGCAAAAATCGAAGTTAATCTACTAGATTTGGCTAGAAAATTGAATAATTAATACTTCTTAACAAAAAGTAAAAGTTCAAAGTATACAGAAATTTCAGGCACAGTTCACTCTATTATAATCCAAAATTAGAAATACCACACTTCCCATAAAGTTTAAGATATTTACAAAAAACTGAAGGAGATAATCCGAAATCGAGGATAATACTCTTTAGTGAAACAGGCCGAAAATGATTGTTTAAAATTAATTTAAAACACAAAATAGCTTTGAAATCCTCTCATTAAAGAAAATTCGCTCCTTTATATAGTCACCACGCCTAGATTTTCGTTTGATTTGTGCACTTGTGGAAATTTTTGTTTTTTTTTTGTTGTGCAATGCTATCCATCCTTCTTTGATTAATTGTATGAAAAAAAGTATATAAAAAAATACAAGATATATTCAAATTTAATTATTTTAAGCATTATTCAAATCTATCGGCCTGTTTCACTAAAGTGGATTATCCTCGATTTCGGATTATCCACTTCAGTTTTTTGGAAATATCTCCAGACGCTTAAGGTTATTAAGAAATCTAATGTGTGATCTAGTTAGAGTATTTTGCTACTTAAATTAACATAAACTTAGAATTTTTATATCTTCACTAGTTTGAGAATTATAGCAAAGATCGAAGATAACCTACTAGATTTGGCTAGAAAATTGAATAATTAATACTTCTTAACGAAAAGTAAAAGTTTAAAGTGTACAGAAATTTCAGGCATACTTCACTTTATTATAATCCAAAATTAGAAATACCACACCTCCCATAAAGTTTAAGATATTTCCAAAAAACTGAAGTGGATAATCCGAAATCGAGGATAATCCACTTTAGTGAAACAGGCCGTATATTTTTATTTTCTATTTGTTGAAGAAAAGCTATCTTAAAAATTTATTAAAAAAGAGAACTCATATGAAAGCATTCACATATAAATAGATTATGTATTTTTTAAAAAAGAAATAAGATGGAAATAAATCACATCACATGTCTCTTTAAAAGAAACAATATTTGAGGATTTATTTCAGGACAATTAACGACTTTGTAGCTTTTCGCAACTTCTTGTTGTTGTTTATTTAAATGCTGTGGAATTTTTCTGAAAACGTGATTTCTTCGATAGAATGCGAGTAGCTGCTTTATATTCAATAAGTTGGCATATTGGCTATCAAATGTCAAACTTGACTATTTTCTAATTATTAAGTTCAGATGCCTTTGTGTAACCGATTTAGAGCACGATTGCTTCTCGGGGTCATAGCCTCGAGAGCACTTAATGGTTGAGAGCATTTTGCATCACTTTTCTTTGAAAGAATAATTAGAGAATGAGCGATAAAGTTACTTACTATTCATACTATACATTTGTTTTATGTATTTCAAGCTGATTTTCTTGAATCTCTGCTTGCAAGGGGCGCTTTTGTCAATTGTGTGATTTTGAGATTCGCTTTAGGCTCGGCTTTAGTTTCTTAAACTTTTTTCGTTCGTGATACTCTTACCACAATTGTGAAGATTTCGTACCACACTAGAATCCCAAAATATTGAATATCGGCTCAATTTTAACTGATAAAGAAGTCGAAGTGCGTCTGAAGGTTTAATGCGATGATTTGGACCTGAAAATCAAACAATATTCAATTTGTAAGGTAACTTTGAAGCTCTGGTTTCTAATTTTTACTAAAATTATAAGATTTTGACTCGTTCTTTAGTCCAACTTAGATTCCGTTGCTTCCATTTTGTCTTACAAGAGCAACGAAACTATTAAAAAGTAAGTTTTAGGCTAGCTTAGAGGTTATCTTTATGAATACAATCTTGGTTAAAACCAACTTAGTAATATTCTGGTTTCTGCTAGAATTAATCTTGTTCATTAGGATTCAAACCAGAAACTTTCGAGTTCGCATACTGAAATAAAGCAAATTACCTTGTTGATCAATTAACAGAGAACACTTAATGGTGTTAAGAACCAGATATATTGCACACAATCATTACGCCAAACTTAGTATCCTATCTTTTAAATCTACTGTTTTCATGCAAATTCATCTGTTTAGAATTTCCACATTACTTATAACAGCACAATGAATTCCTATTCAACTTTTTCTTTATGTGTACAGCAAGCAGAGATTAGAATAATCAATACAATCATGTTTATTCATAGACATCTGCAATTCCAAGGCTAAAAACATTTTAAATCTGTAAATTACATTTAATTGACGTCAATTTCAGCTATCAATCCTGCAAAATGACTTTGATTAAAGACAGAACAACAAGGTTTTGGAATAAAGAAAAAAAAATTTATTAATATTACTATTAAGTTGAATTAATGTATAATTAACTTTTTTTTCCCATGAACTTTAGTTAAAAATGCAAGAAATTTCAAGAATGGATCTTATTGAATGTAATATCTGTAGTAAACACGAAAAATTTTGGGGATATTGGCTGAATATTAAAAGATTTAGTCTATTTAAGATTGTAATGAACATTCAGTTTGGAAGAGAATTAGTTGGATGTAAACATCAAAAAATGGTAAATTTTGGTTCCCTTCTCATGATTTTGTTTGTTTGTTACTATTTTATCGTGAATGCATACATTCAGTCAGTTTATTCCAGACCTAGAAGCTCAACATCGAATGTTAAGGTTGCGTTTGGTGGTATTACGCCTGGATGGCCTCTTGATCCTGAAAATGAAGATAAGGATATGATGTGCATTAAGAATTGATCATTCAATGTAAGGTTAGTGGCGTAGCTAGACGTTATTTATTATTTTACTGGATTCTTTCAATTATATCCAGCTACTTAATGTAAAACTGATCTTATAAATTGGGGAAAGCACAATTAGATATTCAAATAGAACATCTAGCGAAAGAAAAATCACAGAAAAATAATTCTTTCATTAAGTAAACAAAAAACTATTTATAGCATGTAATACGATCTGTGACACATAAAAGTAAGGTTCGAAATGTCAAGTAGAACCGCCATTTCTAGTTATTTTTTTATGACTAATTAATACATACCGTAAGCAAAGTCTGGACTGCAAATAAGCTTAGCTTTTTGTCCAACACTCATTCTTGCGAAACCTTCATCCCATCCTCTAATGACTTCACCCCGTCCGATCTATGAATTAAATATGTAGATTAAGAACAATGTAATTTCCTTAATTAAAGCACTTTAAAGTACCTTGAACTTGAATGGCTTGCCACGGTTTCTTGAGGAGTCGAAAACTTTGCCGTTATCAAGTGTTCCGGTGTAATGAGCGACTACTGTTTGCCCAGATTTTGGATAAGTTGTTCCTGGATGTGTGTAAATGAGTATGAAAAATCAATAACATGTGCATGATATGACATTTTTTTATCGCTTGGAATTTTTTTTTGCGAAAATTTTAAAACCTTGTTTTTCACTTAATTAAACTACATGTAAGCACGCATGTACTTTAACTTACCATCGCCAGGGCTGATTTCGACAATTTCAACACCCATTATTATGCGTTTTTCTTAAAATTTTCACGAAAAATCGGCTTGTTAAGTTCCTCGACTCTTAGGCTTCTAAACTGGAATGCTGAATATTTTGAGTGAAAAAAATTTAAAATTTTCAAACCCGTTAGTGGATTTGCCGGGTTTTAACACCGGGAAATACAAATTTAAATAAACCGTTATTGCTATCATTCATGTCATTTTTCCAGAGCATTTTGTAGATTTCCAGTTTTTTGCATTAAATAGCTGCGAATTAAAAAAATTGAAAATTTTGGGGGGTTGAAAATTTGTAACAAAGGGGGGGGGGGGGGTGTCAAGAAGTATTTTTTTTCACGAAAAAAATTTGTTTACAAATTCACACCAAAAACATTTTTTTAATTTTTCCATCTTTTTATCAAAATAAAATAAATTATGAACGTTCGGGGGGGGGGGGGGGGGTTGTGAGTTTTAACATATTGTAACAAGAGAGGGGGGGGGGGGGTGAAAAAAGTCGTTTTTTTGTGTAACGTAATAAGTGAACGGCCTCTGGGAAAATCAAGTTTTCTATTTCTACTGGATACTGATGGATACTACATTCATTTAAATTACCGTTAAAATTTAAATTTCAAAAAACCGCTTAAGAAAAATAATAAGCTTTAATTAAAATACAATTTTATTATTAAACAGTTACAAATTATCAAAATAACAGATTAATTGCTTCATATTTATGCTGTCTTACAAACATATCCTTAAGCATCTTCATGGCATAAGGCGATAATCTTAAAATGTTCCTCTTCATGTCTGCAATCATTTTAAGACTGTCCATCGACTCATTCTGAATAATTTGGAGATAACTAAGCTTCTTTAAGTCATCCAGTAAGACTCCAACACTATTCTTAATAGCAGTCATTGTGTTGAAATGTGAGACTTCCTTAATTATGATAACTTCAATGCCTGGATTAATCTTTGTGATTTCCTGCCAGTCTGTGTATATAAAAGGATACAAAGTTCCTATTTTAAGCTTCTTGAGTTTATTGATCTTAATATTCCTAAGGCTATCGATCTTAAAATGATCAACTTCTAGTGTTTCGAGATGCGCAAGTGTCGCCAAATCCTCACAAAGAAAGTCAAGCATGTATTCGAGTCGCAGTCGCTTAATATTCGGGAAGATCTTTAACATCAAATTAAATAATGCGACATCATTATTGTAGCCTTCTAATGACAGGTCAGTGACATTTTTGTTGACGAAAAATTCATAGTCAAGTAAATTATTTGACTGAATTAGTTCCAATGGGATGGTAAGCTTCCGTACACGAAAATTCCTCAAGAGATCAAATGTAATTTTAAATCTAACAAAATCATCTTCGTACTTTTTAATCACCAACTCTTCCAAATCACTCTGTGTCTCAAGGAACTTTACAAAATTCTCACGATGATCCCCACGAAAGTTTATTGACAATTTTTTCAGTTGAAACGTTGCGCACGTGCTTAAATCTATTTCAAAGAGTGACGAAACAAATTGATTGTATGTAAGACTTTCGGTAAAGTCATCGAAAAGGAAAGAATCGATAAATTCGTCGTAAATTTGAAGAACTTTAAGTTTGCTTTGCTTGCAAAGGAAATCGATGAAATTTTGTGAAAACTTTTGCATTGGAAGTTTAATGAGTAGTTCCTCAAGATGTGAGGTATTCAGAAGATCCATAATTTTCATGTCCAGTTGTGTGATGTAGCCCCAAAATTTTGAAGATATTTCTACAGATTTTAAGTTTTCATATGTCACTTCCTCAACATTTTCTTTGTCTGATTCCGAAGTTCTTGTTAATTCTATTGCTGGCTGCTTTATATAAATGTAATTAATCTTTAACTTTTCAATATTTGGAAATAAAGTCATCACAGTCTTAAATTCATCGAAGCTGTCAAAGGATGTATAGTCCATGTTTAATATTTTCACAAATTCACCACAATCATTCGCAAATTCAACTTTTGACAGCCAACTTTTTGATAGACTCAATGGAAGCTTCCGCATTGAGTTACTATTAGTTATGATTAATTCACGAAAGTTATAAGATACATCCAGTAATACTTTAAGGCTTTGACAGTCAGCAAATTCAAATATTTTCAATAAAATTTCATTTGGTAGGATATCCATTTCCTGTTCTTTATTTTGGCTCTAACTCGTTCGAATTCAAATAAATCACTGACAAAAAAAATTGCATCTAGAGGATGAATAATTGCATTCATTCATTGCGATTCTAATTAAATAAGAATTGCGTACTTTTATTTTTATATTTTGAAAGTTTTTTTGTTTATTATAAATAACTTTGTTGTCGGTATATATACCTTACTAGGTACATACTTACTAGATGACGAAAATAGAGCACTTTTCATTTTCATAAAGCTTTTCTTCAAGTCAAAATGTTATTAACCTTAATTATTTGAGTTTGAACTTTGAACGATCTTTAGTCTCGAGATTTTTGGAGCTTCGACCACACTGACTATGACTATAATTCCCAATAATCCATCTGTTATCGAGGAAAGTTATTTTTTATCTTCATTTTCTTTCATTTTTTTTAATCACATCCAAATGATATGATTAAATTTTGTCAATAAGGACGATTAAATATTCGCAACTATGCATAATGGCATAGCCCAAGATATATCAATACAATGTACTTAGCCACAATTAGCGTGTTGCCATGACTGGAACAGCAAAAAAGCACCCAAATCCAAAAACTCAATGTTTTTAATATTTTTGGAAAAATATGTTAATTTATTACTTAAAGATTGATAACAACAAAAAGAAGATTAAAGTTCACTGATATCACATTCCTTGAATATTTCTCTAATTAATTCGACCTCCTCATTACAATGATTAACAAAGTAGTTGGATACTTTTATTGTCTTCTCCTCGATATTAATTTCAACTTTATAAAATGGATTTTGATCCTGAATTCGTTCATTCTCATTAGCATCTTCGTCAGGATTTAATGAATTATCAGGCGGACAGCATGCGATCCTACAAACTTTCAAATGCTTCCAATTTGTTAAATTTCGAATAATTATACTGAATTCAATTTTAATCGATGCATTAAGCTTAAAATTTCCAATATCCTCAATGTAAAGGTTCTCAATATTTGGACAGTCATGCGTCAGCTTGTCCCAATAAAAATTACTTCCAGTTGGACTTAGAAAATCAATTTCTAAAGTCTTTAATGACGGCATATTCACAAATAACATTGTGTCGCACCTAAAGCTATCAGCATGGATGAATTTGAGTTTGTGGAAGTTCTCTAAAATCCCATAAAGTGAAAAACTTGATAAGTTTTCACATTTCAGTGACTCTATGTTGGGAAAAATGTTAATAAATGTCTTGAATGTCTCTAAATCATCGTTAGATCCAACAAGTTCTAGTTCCTTTACACTATCTAATCTGCAATTTTTAATTATATTAACTCTCGTGTCATTTAATGTCCAATCTGATGGCAACGATAGCTTCTCTAATTTCTTAAAATTATTAAATAGCACTCGACAAAAGTGAAAATCAATGTTGTAGCATGAAATTATTAAATCCTTGATACTCTCAGATTGTGCACGAAAAAAGTTTGAAAAGTGACGATTGTAGCTTAATTCACATTCCAATGAGAGCGTCTTGAGCTTGAATTTAACATTTTCGTTAATATCAACGTGAAATAGGCTCTTATACATCATATCACTATATCCTTGTAGTATTAGTTCTTTTAAATTGTCTTGCTGGCACACAAAATTTGTAAATTCAGTCTTGGGTTCTTGATAATAAAATGTAAGTTTTAGATATTTAAGTTTGTTGCAATTCTTTATGTATCTAATAACACTCTCTGCAATACTACTCGACTCGAGATGCAAGTATGTCAAATAATTTAAGTCTATTTCTGTTTCAGTTACTGGATCTTCTTCGGGATCCTTTTGCTCATCGGTTGCTTTACTTTCGGCTACCATTTCATTATTTGGATTGTTCTCAATTGCCATAGCTTCATTGTCTAAAGCTTGTTCCTGATTATCTACATTTTCTGGTGCCATATCTTGATTATCTATATTATGTGCAGCCATTGGGTTATTTTCGGCAACCATTAAATCAGCATTTTGGACATTCTCAGCTTCATCGATTACATCGACAATTTCTATTGCCATTTCCTCTATATTGGCATTATTTGGATTAATTTGAACATTTGGTTCCTCTAAATCAACATCCATGATTTGAATATCATTTTGTATCTCGTTTATATCTGGTGGTTGTTCTTCCTGGGCATTTGGCTCGATGTTGTGATTCTCATCGTTATTATCTACTATATTTTCTATTATTTCTTCGTTTTCTGGATGTTCAACATTCATTTCTTCATTGTGTTCGTGCCTGTCTTCATCGCGTTCCATAATATAGCAATCTGTAAATGATAATCTTTCTAGATTTGGTGTTTCCCTTAAGATCCTTTTAAACTGATTCTCATCATCAAATCCAACATCCTGAAATCTTAAGGAACGGATGAAAAATCCAAACTTTTTAATAAACGGTAATTTCTCTTTCCACGTCTCATGAAATAAGATTACGTCGAACTTTCTCATTAGTTCTGGGGACTTAATAATTAATTGATTTATTTCTTTGGACACAAGAAGGCATTTTTTAAGATCATTTAGTTCCAAATGATTTAAAATTGATTTGATGATTTCTGGAGGAAAATCCATGCTGCAAAAATGGGAATTTCGTTCAATTAGATCACTGCACTTTATATAAATGTGTCATAGCTTACGTGTGGATATTTATCGACTATATAAATTAATTCTGGATCTTTCAAATTGTTGTGAAATTATGACATCACGGTCCTTGATTTTTTTTCTCGGGAATTTTGCTTTAAATCTTAATTAATCAACTCTAGTTACCTTTTAACTATCTGATTATAACCTTTATATTATATTTAATTAAATGAATCCAATTGACAGTCGCAGGATATCTCTTAAGCCTTTAATATTCAATAAATCACTAATGAGCAATCCTCAATGTTTTGAAATCGGATTTTTTTGTGACTGCGCCTGAATTTTATAGCAAAAAGTTCTTTTTCTACGTTTCTTTTACGACTATGTGATGATTTTTGGTATTTCTTCATTACCAAATTATACTTCGTCAAGTGTGGTAAGTGCTGATTTTATTGCTGAAATCAATAAATTATATTTTTGGAAATTACAACGGTTTTCAAAAATTTGAAACAAAACGATTTTCAAAAATTCCAAATTTATAAGAATTTAAAATCAAAATTACCGTTAATTACCAATTTTGTCAATTCAACTTTTTTAAACTTCTGTCAACTTCTGTAATTTAGAAATTCAATCATTTTAAAAGCAAACAACAATTAGTCAAAAGTTTTCTCTCATCATCATAATTCAATAAAATAATTTTATTAATATCTAAAATCACACATAAATTAAATTTACATTAATTAATAATACATAAAGACATGTGAAGAGTTCAGAGCAGTATAAAAATAGATATACACATCTTGAATAAATTTAATCAGGATTCGCTAATTTCAATAGAGTTTTAGAAGAAGCTGCTAGCTCAGTTTTACCTAGGCATCTCGCGGTTACGCACTGGAATTGAAATTGAAAGTTAACTATTATAAGCAGTTACAGAATGATACATAGATTTTAAATTTTAACGTACTTTTTGAATTCAAAACTTTCCACAAAAACTTGTCAAAACATTCGAAGTAAAATATACCGTTAAAATTCCAATCCACATTTTTTTGAGCATTCCAAAAAAGAACATTAACATTAAAAACTTACATTCAATGAGAAGAACAGCTATAGAAAGTCCAATAATAAAAAGAAAACTCATTGTAACAATCAGAACTGAAACCTGTCGACTTCTCTTGCAAATAAAACTCTTTGACTTTCGTTTCATGCTAGAACGTCCGAATCCGTTAATCATTGTAAAATGTGTTGAACTTGCCATAGACAATTGATCAAGCTCTTTGGTAGATATGTTGTAGTGTGATGCAAATAAGTTATTCGGATGAGTGTTGATGATTGATGCTTGATTTTGTTTATGAATTTTCTCGAAATTATCAAGTATGGATGATGCATGATGTCGTTCCTGAATTTTTGCAAAGTTTTCTAAATTTGCGACAGTCAAGAGAAGTGAGGAAGCACTCTGCAAATAGATTAATTATACTTTGCTATAAAAGTTGCTATAAAAATAAAATAACGGTCGTCAAAAATTCAAATTTCAGATTCTATTTACTTTTGTATGAGAAATAGTTCTTAAAAATTAGAAATTAAAAAACTATAGTTAATTCAAGTTAATTCTGTCTTATTTAGTATAATAAACGTTCATAAGTGTCTAAAGAGTATGGATAATCAGAAGATATTGCCAGCAGCAATTGATTTGCCATTAAATCCTAAAGTATTGGAAGAAGTCATCTTAAAAGCAAAAGATTGGTAAGAATTATCAATTTAAGTAAACAATTTCGCATAGTCATGATGATAAACTGATAACACACAAAACAGGGCATTAATGCACGGAGTATGCATGAGATCCAAAACGAATTTCAATACGGATTCTCTACAAGTAAGTTGAAAAAAGTTTCAAATGATCTTGAATTATTAATTAGCTTAAGTATAAATTATTTCCAGTTTGCACCGTTCGTTCTCACTCCGTCGCTATATCCACGAAAAGAATTCGAGAAGGCCGTAAATCTTCAAACAATTCTCAATGAGTTAATTCATAAGGTTGCGCACGACACTGAGTTTTTACGTGATACTTTAGCCGGCACAATTCAGGTCGACGAGTTCACAGCCAATTTATTTAAGATTTACGAGACAGTTTTAGCTGAAGGAATAACACAGGTAAGAATTTCATAACACTTCTTCCTTTATTGCTCATCATTTTCTTTATGATTTTCACTTTTATTTTCGATGATCCTTCCACTTTGTTGGAAATCTGATTATTTTTTTTGAAAATTCCAGTTTTGTGCTTTTAAGTGAAAGAAGTACAAACAAGGATACGGAACTGATAAATTAAACTTTGATCAGTTCCGCACCCTTTAGTCAAATTATATATGAACCTATTTTTAGTGCTAAGTTTGACTTTAGCTGAAGACCTTGAAAACGTAAAAAGTAGTACCAAGTAACCAAAAGGTAGATCAATGAATTCCATGAGAATCTTCCATGGATGATACACATGTACTATTCATGTATTATCCATCGGAAGATGATGTCCTATGAAATTGGAACGTGCTAAATTCCACGTGTTCTTTTGTATTTTTCTTTTATTTGTGTAAATTATTGTAAAAGTATTAGATGTACTTAATAAAAGTACACTAACCTACGAAAAAGAACAAAAAGAACTTAATTAAGTCGCATACTGATGAACGCCCAAGACTCGCACACAAACCTGAGGAAGATAAATAATTAATTGAAAGCCTCATACAAATTTAGAGAGAACTTATAATAGTGATTTCTGCGAGCTCTTGTGAAGTGTATGGTAAATGCCAAATTTAGAACAAATATTATTTTCCTGCAAAAAAATATTTTTTGATGATTTTTCATAAGATTTGAACCTAAGCGGGATCAGGTAATACTTCGATGGAACACTTTTGTTACATGTTTGTAAAACAAATATTTTACATATAATAAATAATGATACATTTGATCTTCCATCGACGTCGAAGGAAGATTATATGGAACATTTTGGTTATTTGGGGTAAATGATGAATTCATCATCAGGTCTAACAATACTAGATGAAATTACTTCCTTATCACTGTAGCACAAATATGGAATTTTCCCATAAAAATCTAGATTTTCGACATGGTGCCTTCATTTTTTCTTTATTTTAATTCTTATTAAAAATTTTGCAATCCAAAACAAAAATCAATTTTTTTCGTGTGTCAAACTTGAAAAACCAAATATTATGAAATAAACCACTAATGCAAACAGGAATTATCACTTGGTCTGGTTCGCTCCGATACAATGCTTGAAACCAAGAAAACGTGCATCAACCCATGTCAAAAGAAATTAGAATGTCAATCAAAAAAACGCGATAGGCTCTATTGTTGCGTTGCGATGGTCGAGATAAACACTATCGCTTCTGGATTCGGCCATCTCGGACCTGCTAGTCGGGGCATTCAAAGGTTATCGATCGTTATTTTTAAATGTGTTTCTTTTGTTAAATATTTCCGTGGTTTAATATCTTCTCTATTTTGTACATTTTTTCATCTATTTTTTTCATTTATATTATTTTGTTTGGCAAAGCTTTAAATTTACTTAACATTTAAAAAATATCGAGTGAGTGCTCTTCCAACAGTTTGTATGTACAGAATTTAATAACTCAAAAAAGGATCATCTGTGTCATTTATTATTTACTTTATCATTTTTTTTGTCAACTTAACTATTTTTCTTTTGTAAATATTAATCAAATTCTCTCACTTAAAGAAGATCCACCAAAACTTAATTCATCATTCTTCCAGATTCTAACGTTAGGTTTGCTGCGTTCTGATTATTTTAATACTACAAATAATAATATTTTACAAGTGGAATTCAATACGATAGCTTCGTCGTTCGGCGGAATCTCGTCTAAATTTCGATTGTTCCATAGGTAGATTTAAAAAATTTTTAATAGACCATTCTGTTGTATATTATTTTTTTGATTTGTGTCATATACATTAATTAATCCATTACATTTTCTTACAAAAACATACATTCACTTTAGTTTCCACATTTTTTCATGACATAAATGAGCTTTATTTTTTTGTTTTTGTCGTCCTGCAAATGTCGCTGATTACATCTCACAATTCACATACACATTATACATCACAGTGTTTAACATCATTTTTTGTTGGTTTTTTTTTCTCAAAAATGTGAAATTAAAAGAAATGTTTTTGGTGTTGAGGAAAATTTTTTTTGTCTAACGGTTTAAAAAAAATAGAGCAGATAGAAAATAAAACATTGGAAAAGCACTCAAAAATAGAACGTTAACTTTATAAATTGCTTAGAATTTGGCATGCATTTGTATTGTAATAATTTGACATTTTTAGAGAAACCTAGTTTGGCAGGAATTGTTGCTGTTTGATTTTTTTATGAAATCGCAATTTAATTCTGAAGAAAATCTATAAATGTTGACCATAAATTGTACATTGCTTGGATAAATCTTGGATATCTTAGTCTTATGACAATGAAAAGCTCAAAATCGACTCGGATTTGTATGGAAAAATGGAACCAATTTGATTTGAGCTCCGGACAATGTAACTGGTTTCATTTACTTAATTCCTTTATTTATTAAGAACACGACTAAAACTTTTTTATAGTGATTAATTTTAAGGAAAAAACAAGATTGTAATCCGTGGTATTGGTCAGCAATTCAAGGATGAGTCTAAAACTTAAAGCAGGGCTCGTTTAGCAGTTAAGTCATAGCACTTTTACATCGAATTATGATGATTTCTAACCTTTTTTGAAAAAAAGACAAAAGTTGATTTTGATTCTTAAGAAACTTTAACTTAATTATTAGACAAATAAAAATAAACACTCATATTAATAGACCTGATCGAGATTTAAACCCATCTCTGACGACAACTGAGCTGTCGTTGTTTCGTAGCTTGGCAGAATGCTACTTTAAACTTATTTTGATTCTTAAGAAACTTTAACTTAATTATTAGACAAATAAAAATAAACACTTCTATTAATAGATCTGATCGAGATTTAAACCCATCTCTGACGACAACTGAGCTGTCGTTGTTTCTTAGCTTGGCAGAATGCTCCTTTAAACTTATTTTGATTCTTAAGAAACTTTAACTTAATTATTAGACAAATAAAAATGAACACTCCTATTAATAGATCTGATCGAGATTTAAACCCATCTCTGACGACAACTGAGCTGTCGTTGTTTCGTAGCTTGGCAGAATGCTACTTTAAACTTATTTTGATTCTTAAGAAACTTTAACTTAATTATTAGACAAATAAAAATAAACACTCCTATTAATAGATCTGATCGAGATTTAAACCCATCTCTGACGACAACTGAGCTGTCGTTGTTTCGTGGCTTGGCAGAATGCTACTTTAAACTTATAATATGATCTAAACAGTATTTTTGATGAATTTTAATTTAAGAACTTCCAAAACTCATCTTTTTTCTTTCGTTAATCTAATGATCAAAAATTGATCAATAACGTTTGGAGCAATTTTGAAAAATTTTATCAATTTCGAACAAAAATATTAAGTAAATAACAAGAATGCTTTACTTTTTACATTAAAAACTACTTTATTCGTCAATATATTTTGATGCTCTTCACTTTTAAGTCTATCTTTTCCAACTACTCTTCTCAGTCGGGTTCTAGATTGCTATCAATCCAATAGTCCCTGATTTCAGATATTTTGCGGTTTCATTGGTCAAATTCAACAACCCTGCAAAAGTATTTGTGTATTTAGTGTTCTATGTTTGCTTTAGCATTCCCCCAAAATAAATCATATCTTATAAAAAAATTCAATTATTTCATTCTGTAGCTATATTCTAAATGAATTGGGGCATAACGATAAGATAAAGAATGTGAGTAAATCTTTTTTTATCAATATTTCCCAATTAAATAAATGTTTTATTGCCCATAATCAGCTTCCCGAAAACAATGCATTATCTGGTTTATGTGACGCAATGGTTGAAGCATGGAATATTATTGGAAACACAAAAGCTGCAATATTGTTTATAATTGAAGACGTCACTTATAATATTTGTGATCAGCGTTTTCATGAATTCCAAATACGTGAAAATTATCCACATGTTAAAGTAATTAGAAAAACATTGACAGACGTTTTTAATACTGGAGTATTGGGAAGCAATAAGGAGCTTATTGTTGATGGAATTGTTTGTAGTGTTGTTTATTTCCGTGCTGGATACGAGCCTGGACATTATCATTCACAAAACGAATGGAGTTCCCGATTGATGATTGAGAGATCATCAGCAATTAAATGTCCATCGATTCATTATCATCTTGCTGGCACCAAAAAAGTACAGCAAGCATTGGCCAAAAAAGGAATTTTAAAACGATTCTTGACTGATGAGGAAGAAATCACAAGAGTAAAGGAAATCTTTACAGGCCTTTACTCTTTAGACAAAGAAGAAGGTGGGGATCAAGTTGTTGACATGGTGCTTAAAAATCCTGAAGGTTATGTAATGAAGCCTCAAAGGGAAGGAGGTGGAAATAATATTTATGGTTCAGACATTCCTGAGGCACTTACAACAATGAGCGAGGAGGAGCGATCAGCTTATATTGTTATGGATCGTATTTTCCCTCCAATTTCTAGGAGCTATATGATTAGACCTGGCGCACAAGGAGCACCAACAATTGTTGATTTGGTCTCTGAACTTGGCATCTTTGGGGCAATAATAGGAACAAAAGAGAAAATTCTTTATAATCGACAAGTCGGTCACATGCTGAGAACAAAAGGATCAAGTGCTAATGAAGGTAAATGTCATTATAACACTTGTTTATTGGCCGTTACTGATACAATTTAAAATTTTATAGGAGGTGTGGCAGCTGGCATGGGAGCTCTTGATAGCCCATATCTTTTTGACTAATAGATGTTATAAAGATTTTTATTTTACATAGAAACACTATATTTTGAACAAAATGTGCATTCTTATATTAATATGTTATGGTGATGGGCTAAATCAAATTTTATATACAATATATTCAAATTACAGCAAGGATAAAGGACATTGGATCAATTTTTAATAACAGGGAATCGTCTAAATCAAACTTAAGATAAAACATACCTATTTTATAATATTAAAACAATGAAATTCTTTTAAAGAACAAATCAAATGTAAAGATGCATTAAGATACAGATTTGAAAACTGACCAAGTTTTGGATGCATAACAACTAGAAAATATAAGGATTAATTATAAACAGAGCAGCAAAAGCAGCAAACAAACTTAAACATCATCTAAAGGTGACTAGTAAATTGATTTACAGATCAACTCTAAAAAACTATGCAGTTAAAATTTTTACATTTGTTTAACTATGCAGTTAAAAAGTTATGAATTAAACCATCTATAAACTGTTATTAAAAACCATCCTAAAGTATTAACTCATTGCTTATTTTGAATAAAAAAAAATAAACAACATACATGAATACTTTGTTCGCTATCAGATGAGCCTTGTGATGATCTTGATCCCCTTTTAATAGGTGAATCACATTCAATGTTATCGATGCATGTCTCTTGCATTTGATTCTTTTTAATTTTCGCTCGCTGTGTTGACGAGTTTTGAGATGATGCTGATGAGTGTGTTGTGTTACAATCATTGCAATCTTTCGTTTTTTCAAGCACTTCGCTGTCACGATGATAAAATCGACTCTGAACTTTACTCGAATTTGAACTCAATGACGGTCGAGGAATGTACCAAGATTGATCCATATCTAAAAATAGAGGCATAAAATAAACAAAATCATTAATGTCTCAGAATAAATAGATAAAAATATCCGGAGGCGTCACAATGTTTCCTTCCAGAGATCTCACTAAATAGAAATAAACAAAATTATCGGATATCAAGGCAATCAAGATTCGACTTAAGTTTGTCAACTAATCGTTGACGTCACTATGCAGTCATTAATGAACATAGGAAGAAACAAAACAGTATAATAAAAAAGAAATAGCATCAAAAACATAACGGATCCGGAAAAATCTTGATCAACATGTACACGTGTTTTTGGCGTCACTTAATCGTGAAACAGTGATCAGCATAAAATAAAAGGTCAATGAATTTAATTGGGATTGAAGGCGTTGGTATTAATCCGTATCCTCGACAAGTCAATCTATTTTTCGCAATTCTTCGACAGGCGAATGTAGCATAATTCTTGCAAATGCTCGCGTGATTGCAAAAAAAGTAATTGATCTTAAAAAGTCAAACACGTTACACGGTATGAGATGTTAATTTACCTTTTTTTTTTCTTTTAAAAAAATTGGTAAAGTATTGATTTATGGGCAAGGAGATATCAAATCAATTTCATCATTTAACGTTATTAAGAGCATTGAAGTTCATTTTCATGACTAAGTTTTGATATTAAAAAGGCAGTGAATATATTCAATTATTGCATAATCGTTATTGTTGTTTTTCATTCAAATATGTAAAATAGCAGTTGACAGCCTGAGGACATTTGACTGCTGTCTTAGTCACACAAAAATATCTTCATTGCCCAGCAAACAATTTAATTAACAATTAATTACTGTGCTTGGTGACGGTTTTATTGCAATCTGAAGTGAATTAATTGAGTAAATTAATGAATGTCACAATTGTGGATTCTCGCTAACTTTATTGTTAAATTAGCTTAATTATTTATTAGTTTCACAAAATTCACTAACGTATTCAGAGGCCCGAGAAGCACGAAGTGACAGCTAAGACTAATAACTAGCTCTCTTCACAAAGATGATGACACTAGTAAATGCATTTTCAAGAATCACGGAGTCTCGCTTAGCAAGATCACTTCAAGCCTCATTAAGTCAGTAAGATTGAATTGATGCTTTAGAATGGAAGTGAATTTAAGAAAACCTCTCAAAATTCTTTAATGAGAAGTTCAAGTTACTTAAGGAGTTAATAATTGTTTTAATGGTAAGCAAAAAGGTTGATGCTAAGGTTAAAGAAAGGATCAAATTAAAAAGATTTAATTTATCATCAATATAACTCGCACCGCACTAAAACAGCTTTATATTCATCTTTAAAAATCAATTTTAAAGAAAAATATTACCCTCAACCCCTTCCTGGCTTCGTGTCTGATACTCCTTAACCTCTTAGACACATTTTATCTGTACATCCGGTCTTAATTGATTCAAAACAATCTGCTGTCAGCCAATAATTTTTTTTAAAAAAAAAAACATGTTTAAAAGAAACCAGACACAGTCTACATTATACAAAATTCCAGCTGCTCCTACAAGTCAGTAACTTCATTTACGCTAGCGTAAAAAAAATCCATCAATTTATTAATTCATATTAAGATGTTGCCCGCCCATATTGATATGAACACCTAAGGAATTAAACATCAATCGTGTTTAACAGATAAGTGAGTACGCTCACATAATAAAAATTTTCATTAATAAAGCATACGCTGGATAAATAAACAAAAATATTCAGTTGCAGGCTGTTCGCTGAACTTGTTTTACATCTTCGTATTTAATCGACAGGGTCACGATTTCAATATTCATTCATTCTGGCGTTAAACGAGGAGAGGAAAAAAGTCACTGAATGGCGCTAAACAGAAAAATTATTTCAGAAGTTCATGAAAAATGATTTTAGACAACAAAACTCTTTGTCGTGGTGATTTTGTCAATTCAATGCACGATACAATAAAAACGAATGATTAAAAAGTGCTTCACATATTGAATAGTCAATGAGGCAGGCATTTAAGTATGCCAATAATGTTGCTTTGAGGCTCATCGGCATATATCTTGAATTGCAATTGTAATTCAACTTTTTTTTTCATGTATATACACATCAGATTCATCGAATCGAAGTGAGTAAGTCAATGTCAAAAATGTTGTGAAATTTTTTTTTCAATTAACTATAATTATTCACATTATTCTGGTATGCTGCATACATATAAGTACTATCATAAGCTAATGAATATTATTAAAAAGAAGATGAACATAGAGTTAAAGGAATAAAGTCAATGAAAAGGTCGTTGTGACCATAAGGGGAAATGAATAATTGTAGGTCTAGCTAAATATATCGTTTACATATTTTTTTATGGCCGTAGCACATTTTTTTGAGGTATTAAGCTGCTCTAAACTTGGGCGGTAAAGAGGAAAAATAATTGAATTTAATATATTTTTTTACTACTCAGTTTGTTGGATATATTAAACAAATCTAGTTAAGCTGTTCAAGGATGAAGTCAGGCAGGCTCGTAACCAGGGGAGGGGGATTTGGGGGACAAATCTCCCGACGTTAGCAGAAATTTCTTCATTTTACTAGGAGTTTTATGAAAAAATCATAACCCCCCCACCTTCACTCTGAATTTTTATATAAAATTTTTTTGTCTCCCCCCCCCTCTTCAAATTCCTGGCTACGCCCCTGGCGTCAGGAGAGATTCAGAGCTTCTCGTCGAATATCCCAAATTTGACAAACTTCTTAAAATGTTTCTATGACCATTTGATTATGACTATTGTACGATAGTTCTAGCAACCAGTTCATCAGGCGCATAGCCAGAAGGGTCTTGTCCCCCCCCCCCCCCCCCTTAAACGTTTTGAATACGCAACGAGTGCACGGCCTTAAATGCTTAAGAGGGGGACAATACCCTCCTGGCCACGCGCCTGCAGTACATGACTTTATCTGTTTTAATATTGACATTAAATTAGTTTTGAGAATTACAAAAAAAAAATATTTAAATCATTATGGCTTTAATCAGGATTAATTTTGACATTAACATTTTGTTTTTACTGCTAATAATAATATTTATTCTGTGTAATTTCTTTGACAACTCATCGATTAATAATTAGCAGTTTTCAATTTAATAAACAGTCTTTACCGCATCGTTAATAACCTTCAATTTTTCATCATCTCTCAGATAATAATCAAAATGCATTTATAGCTTTTTGATGGGTTTTGGGTCAGTTGGGCACTATTAATGGTTTTAGATGTTATTTTTATTAAAGTTTTAATATAGATGCATGGTGTACTCCTTCATATATTATGTCTATCAAATAAGTTGACATTCAATTACTTGTTTATCTTGTTTATATTAAGTTTAAATTTAATAAATAAGCTCTTGATGCAGGTTTTGAGTAAAAGATTTATGATTAACTTCCATTCTAAATTTTTTAATCAAGGAAATATTCGCAAGGAGTGGAATTTGAACCGATTTAATGATGAAGATTTTGTAGAAGCATTCATGACTTTAATACGAATTCTTTAAATTTCTTGAGTAAGACATCCAGGGAAATCTTGATAACGTAGATATAATAGGTATCTGGGATGGAATGTTAATGAACCTTCTAGTAAATCAAGAAGTAGGACACTCCTAGATTACACCAAACTAGCTATGTTTGGCAGAAACTATGGAACTTCAAGAAACTGAATTTTTATATTTTATATCAGTGGTGTCAAACCTTTTCTCTGACAGGGCACACCTTAGTGATAATCCTTGACCGAATTTCGCGGCACATAGGTTGGCGATCGCTGTTTAAGACAGAGATGTCAAATTTTGAATCCAATATTCTTTCATTTTCGGGGCAACGAGAAAACATAAGCATAAACAAATTGTTACCGTGCCCCTAAAGCTCACATGTTTTTCCTTCTAATCAATTCATCTAAACGTTCCCGAAGCATGCACTTTATTTAAATTTATATCCGGCAATTAATTGTAAACAAAGTAATAACAGTCAAAGTCAATGTACTTAAAAAGTTTACTACTTAACTAAACAGAACAATAAATTCTCATATCAAACATCGTTACTTATTGCACGTGATATGCATAAATGAAAGCGAAAATATACACGACTAAATAGAATATATTAATCCAGAATGATTTGTTTATTGCTCATTTCAGCTGATATTCATAGAATGCTTCTCATATTTTCTGGGATTTCTTTTATTCTGTTCTCTCTTTTGTGCTATTATTGTTTTCATAATGCATTGTTATTGCAATATTAATGAAGATTTTTTGTTTTAAATACAGAACATCACAGCTACGTGTGTATCACGGTGATGACAAATAAGGCATGAGTAATTTATCACAGTATTTATTATGGATAAAAGGCAGAAACAACTTTGTATGGTCATATGTCGATTAAAGTTCCACTGTAATACCTTCTCAAATAAATTCCATATTTATTGCGCTAGAAAATTATTGAATGGATGAGCTGAGACGCGTGATTTTATTATTATTGATTTTTTTTTTGTAATTGACTTATTTATATTTAACTTATTTATCCTCTTTAAATCTTCACAATAGCTTTATATGGCTTTATTAATAAGGGATATTTATGGACAATGGAGTGCAATTTAAGTTAAGATGAGAATAAGTGATTGGAATATTGTTGGGATATTTTAATGAATTTGCATATTATGTTAAAGTAAGTTGGAATCTGACGAATATTATCAAGTTTTTGTCAAATTCCATCGAATTCTCAATTTTAAATTTCCATTTCTAAAATAAAGTTCCCACAGTTTTTGCCAATTTTATGCTTATTATCAAAACATCTAAACATAATGATGATAAATGTATCAATTTCATCTCACATCCAATTTTATTCGAAACAAATAACTTACTTCTTCAAAAAATCGGATGTCACACGATAGGAAAGAGAGAAACCTAATGATCTGCTCGTGTGCTTTAATAAAGCTTCTTAATCATTCTTATGACAACATTTTTTTTTTCATTCCCTGAATTTAAGTTTAATACTTTAATTTTTGAAATATGTCGGACTA